GCTTATGTGCCAGCTGTTGGAAGAGTCACAGGCAAGACTTTGGCTGTGACCCACATTCTCTTCCCCAACAGAGCTCATTCTATTGCTGACCCTTTATACCTGTGCCTACAACAACCGCAAGCTTTGTCCTTGAATAATCAAGTAATGCAAAACACCAAGGTTTCACCCATGGGATGTATTCAACCTGTTTTTTTAAGATATAATAATTAAAGATTTCTGGATTGTTAGGGAAATCCCAGCTAACTCTCACCCTTCTGCCAAATAATATTCCATCAGTAAAAATAACAGGTGAAATTCTGTTTTCATTTAAGCCAGCTGGAAATTTACCATGGAATTCAGTGGGGCCAGAGAAAGTCCCTGATCATGTAAGGGGTTAAACAGCTTCAGTGATCTTGGAATTTTTGCCAGCAAATGAATTTGAGACAATTCCAAACAATCAAATAATAAAAAGTGGATTTTTGACAAAATTAATGGCACAATAACTAAAACAATTGCTTTTCATGGAATAAATTAAAGATTATTATATTAAAAGCAAATAAGATGTGTTTTACAAAACAACTATTATGGAGATTTTATGAGGAAAACAAAAATTTGATACAAAAAAAAAGAGTTCTACTTAGTGCATTATTGGTAAGTGTATTGGTTGAATTAGTTTTGTTCTCATTTTTGCCACATGTAATGGTTATGAACAGGCTTTTTCATGTTTTCATTTGTTATAGAGCTCCACATTGTTAAAATACCTCTTGCTTAATGTATTTGAAATACATTTCTATCCTTATGGATTGCCAACAACCATGTTTCTTTTTCTTACAGTATTTATACACTGAACATCTCCTTATTTCTGGTACAGCCACTACATATGTCACTTTTAGGAGGCAATCCTACCCATAGCATGCATTGCATTTAAACTCTTACATTTTAACACTTTGTAATGATGTCTTACTATAACCTTCAATCATGTGCCTTAACAGATCTGGGTTTTGGAAACATTGAAGCTGTTACATTCCTGCTAATGAGTGTTTACACTCCTAAGCAAAATACAGATCAAGTACATTTTAATTCTACCACTACACTGGTTAAGAATTTTGCTGATCTAATAAGGAGGTGGGAGCAACATTTGATATCAGTGACCCATGGAGTCTCCATGCAAGTTTTGACACATTGGAGAGATGACAGTGTGCTGAGCCAAACCTCCTACAAGAGAAGCTGTACACACACAGAGACACACAATTTGTCTGTTCATCACAGATTTTGCTATTCTGCATATTATAGATTTACATATTGTGTCAATTCAAGGACCATCTTTGATCTTCATGCCAGAAATAAGGAAAGGAATGTGGGTTATTTTGCTGGGGCAGGTCTTCCTGGGTTACATGAGTCTGCATGGCAGTGGCTTTCATTCTGCACAGGAACACCTCCTCCTCTGGTTACAGAACCATGGTTATGTCATCTAAATAAGTGTGTTGGATAATGAAGTTATCATTTTGAGCCTATTCAGAATTTCTTTAATCAGCACAGTAAATTAAAATTCTGCTAAAAAGCAAACAAAGTGAAACCTTTAGGTTTTGGTTGTGTTATTATACAAAGACCTTGAAATAAATGTTTGATGTGCTTCAGGCAAATATCCCCTGCCTGAAATAGCAAGGTGCTGGTGTATAAAAAATTTCAATTTTAGATAAACGTGCATAATAAAATTTGTAATTTTATTACCAATTCAAAACCCAGTAACAATCTCACTGAAGTTAATGTGACTCTGATTTTTAATCTGAGTGAGAGTGGAACTGCCTCTTGTATTCTTTCTCTTGTTCTGCATTGAATAATATTACCTAGACTGACAGGGAACTTAGCCACAGGTAAGCTGCAAAGCATAGCAACTGTTTATGTAATATCATGTATGCCTAAAATAATTAATATCTATAAAGATAGCTTTCTTATCAGCAGTTGCTCAAAAAGACATAAGCAGAAAACATCAAAATAATAATGCATTTCGTCCTACTGAAATGAAATATTTTCACATTTGCAAAACTGCTAAAAAAAGAGATTTGTAGATTTTTGATCCTGAATGTACTATTGCTTTTCTACAGCCCTTTGGAATACTATAGTCATTCACAGCTGTCACAAAAGCAGTAGACAAAGAAAGGTGTATCCAAAGCCTAAAGCAGTAAGGAGGTCACAGAGTATCCTATTTTTAATTCTAAAGAATTTATAACTTAAAAATTTATTTTAAAACAAAAAAAAAAGTATGCTTCAAGGAAAAAAAAAAAAACTATACAACTCTACCTTTCTAAGAATACATTTTGCTTTCACTTTTAGATTGTATCCTGTCCAAGTTGGAGTCACAACTCTTATTTACTACAATAGAACAAAACATTTCAGATTGTTTTAATGGTTTTACCATTACTATTAGAAAATATCCCTTCCCAACAATACCAGATTCTATAAGGAACAATACAAACACAGTGTCAGGTAAGTCTGCACTTGACCTCCTTCTCCTCTGGCTTACCTGGATGTTCCTGATTCTCTTTGAAATTCACACAGTAGAAAGTAAATTGACTGCAACAAACCTTCTAGTCAAAAAGGGATGAAAAACAACACAGGTATACAGTCTGAATTTTTATCTCAACTGAATGAGAAATCCCTTCTTTAAAACATTATTCTGGTAGAGATTAACTGGTTCATAGTGGTTGTGTTTAGATAATCAGCATAGACTGACTCAGCTACTCTACATAGAAACTTAGCTAAATGCAGAATAATTTTCTTAAAACCAAAAATTAAATAAATAAATATTTAAACCAATTTATTAATACTGAGAACAATTAAAAAGAAGAATTATTTGTTTCATAAATATAAAAACCAGTCTTGATAAGAAAAAATTTATCTCTCAGAGTATGTATGCTCAAATAAGTTGCTTGATCTATTCAAGAACTCAAACATTATCTCCTCATGAGGGAAATCAAACATTTCTTTGCTCTGGTTTGTGTAATTTTTACCAATAAACTTAATCATTGAAGTCCTAATGTGCTCAGGAGAACTTGTGACAGGATGATCAGTAAAATTCTTCCCCAAAGAAGGCATAACAGTCAAGAATTAACCAGGAAACTGTGGAGCTGTAAATTTGTATGGTCATATCCAAAAGACTGTGTGGGAATAGGAGAAATACATCTGTAAAATAGCTATATTTTCTCATGTGTTACCTATTTTCTGCCGTAAGGCATAGGCAGATAATATATTATCTGTTTTTTGTCAGAATGAGCATCTGGTGATTAGAAAATCTGGGAATCAAAGACAGGATTTGGGCAGAACTGGTCTGTTGAGTTTAGTTAGCTGTAAGTTTAGCTTCTGATTTCTTGGCTTCAGTGAACTTGTCACCTGTGATAAGCAAATGACCTGGCAGATGTTGTACTGTCACAGCTTTGGACCTGTGTTCAGCTGGGTGCTCAGCTGGTTTGAGGAGTTACGCAGACTTCCTCAACCAATATTTCACCTTGCTGTCCACTCAGCTCTGGTAGCTGGTATTAAAAGACACATCTCAGTATCCCTCGAGGGACAGAAGACCACTGTGAATTAATTTAACATAGCAGTTCAATCTCTACAAACTTGCTGCAAACTAATGAAATTACATGGTCAAGCAATGACAGACTTGTGCTCCATTTAAGCTCCTCTAATGTTACTTTCAAACACCTAAGGTAACAAAAAGACACTCCAAGAAAGGCTTGTTATTAAATTAACCTGTGATAAAAGCAGAATTGTGGTGTTGCATTAATGTTTAGGTAACTTGCACCATTACATGCCAGACAGTGGTAAAAAAAGTACAAACCTGAAGGATGACATACTTTCCTTTATTTGACCTTCTTAAATGGAAATCTTTGTTACAAGTTCTGTATTGATATAACTCTTAATGAAAATTTATTTACTGGACAATGGGTACTTTTGTGCTGATTAGGTGGGAAAAAATTGCATTCTTTGCTGCTATTTATAACACAGCTAATGATTTTTTTTGGTGTGAATAGCTCCTTATTTATCTTCAGATGCTTTTCTTGGCAGGGACAAAGTAAGGACAAAAAGGTCTTTATTTCTTTTTTTGCTACAAGGTGATGGGGCTGATTTCTGTAAAACGGCTCTACTCACCCAGGTATTCCCACATATATGGGTCATATTTCTCCTATAAATGGTGTTCCCTCTGAATATTGCAGTAAAAAACCACTATCCATTTCCTAGTTACTTTAAATACTAGTATATTTGCAAGAAGCATCTGGTTTAAAATAGTGTATCATTATTCTGGTTTTATTAAAATACCCTGCAGTGTAACTGCCCACCTCTTTACAACAGTTTCACTTTCAGGACAGCTGTGTTGTGGAAAAGGTTTGGAATCAGATGAATCATTGGTTCTCCTGGGAAGCAGAGTCATGCAGTAAGCTGCTGGCTCTTTGCCCCATAGGCAGGATTTCTAATACAGACATTAGGACAGCCCCTATCCCTCTGCCATATTACAAAATTAATGAGCTCTTTTCAATAACTTTATAAAGTCCATAAGACATGACATAGCAAATTCTTCCTCTGTTATTTAAGTAGTGAGGTTTCAGCTTCTGATATAGATGGATAATGGCAGGATCCAACATGCAAAGGAAAAGTCTCAGCCTTACACTTGATTTCTGCGGTAGAATGTATTTATCCTGTTAGAAAAGCAGCTGTAAGCTGAAATTCTGTGGAAAGGCCCTTGAGTATTTGGTGTAAAGGACTAGTGTTTCTGTCCTGTAAATGCAATGTAGTACATGCAATGTTTCTCTTAACCACTATAATATACTAAAATTACAATGAACTCATCTGCATTTAGATTTTATATATGAAAATATTTTCAGAATTGCCATATGGCTCTTCACAAATTTCTGATAGCAGTAGCAATGACATCTTTGTAACAGGATAGAGCAGAGCAATTCCATCAAATGAGGAAACAGTACAATGGAAACATGATACAAATTTAGCAGAAAAAGCCTGCTTACCTTCATATGTTCCGCTTTCTAGGAGAGCACCACTTTTCTCCAATTCCATAAAATCTTCAACAGTGATGAAAATATAGTCCACACCAGGGACTTCCCCCTCCTTATGTGGCCTTGTGGTGCCTATTAGGAAGATGAAAGACACACTGTCAAGCACATGGCCTAAATGCAGAATGATCTTTTTGAAAGCTTTGGAAAAGTCACAAAGTAAACCACTTACACAACATCTTAGATAGCACATCTTCCTTGTGAGGATGCTTTCAAAGCAATCTAGCTCTATTTGCTGAAGCTGACAGAGATATATGAGATGTACGCTTAAGATCGTGCCAGATATTATTTGGATCTATATTTATTCTCACTAATGAAAAACTATCATACTGCTGTTATTTTTACATTACTAGAAAGCCCCTTAGTGACATCAGGAATTCAGAGGTAACACAAAACAGTCTTTTCTACAATTAATCTGCTTTGTGATATTTTAAAAATTTATTTAGAACACAAAATGATAGTTCTGTAAGTACATCTGTAAGGGTTATATTCACATTGCTTGTTTCAGTGCCATAAGTGGACTTGACAAATGGTTAGGCTTTAGGGCCTGTGGGATTAAAATCACCTGCTAACCATGCTGTCAAGCTGCACAGGTGTTTATATTTAGTTATTGCCTCTATTGTCATCCCTGGATTACAGACCTCTGTAAAAGCTGACAGATAATATTACACACAGCCTGACAAGTGACTTGGCTTAGCTAGCAGAAGTTGGGATGTTAGCAGGGAAGAGTCTGAAACTGACCTGATTTCCTAATGGTCCAGTTTATTGTGGTCAGGCTATCCCTGATTTGACTGAAACCACTAATTAAGTCTCAAAATTCCATTTGGAAATGGAAGTATTTTTGGTTCTCCTCAGTCTCAGAGTGTTTGAAACATCTTAATCAATTTTTTATCCATACTGTACTGATTCCATCACACTTGTAGGGTTTAGTTTAAAGACTGTTGACACTGGGAAGTGGCTAGAAACGTGTCCAATCTCCTTTCTGTTACTTGAAGACACAGAGACATAAAAGTGTTAGATTACCTCCACTGCCTGTTATAGAGACCTTTTTCTCTTCAGACACAGCCTGAAGTCCATGGCAAAGACTGCATGAGACTTTCAAGACAACATTTCAGTGCTTAACATGGAAAATATTTTGATAAATTTTGATAAATCTGTAAGACTCTTCCCTCATTTTCTCCAATTCCTTTCCCATCTCAACATTTACAACTAAAACTGGCTTTAATATATGGGAATTCTCATACTATTTTCTAGGGTACTCTGTCCATCTAGAGTAAAATTCTGAGCTCCTCAGTGAAAGAGAGATGTGAAGTTCTTGAAGTGGATGGAATGGAGGGTGATGAACATGACTGGGGGACTTGAAATCCCTCTGATGAGTAAAGGCTGAGGAAATTGGGCCTGTTCATCCTCCAGGGAAGACTGCATAATTATCTAAAGAGGGAATGCCAAGGGTACAAAGCCAGGCTCTGCTCAGTGGTGCCAGCCACTAGGACACGAGGCAGTGTCTGATGCACAATTCCATCTGAACATTTGGAAGAACTTCACTCTGCAGTGACCAAGCACTGGCATGGGCTGCCCAGAGAGGGTGGGGAGTCTCCCTCCTGGGAGATATTTCAGAACCATTTGGATGCAATCCCGAGCCATGTGCTCTGGGATGACCCTGCTGGAGCAGGGAGGTTGGAACAGATGTCCCACTGTGATCCCCTCCAACCTGACCCACTCTGTGATTTTGTGCTTACTTTTGTGTTTTGGAGGTGGTATTTTTAAAGCACTCAGACACTTGGATTTTCAATAAGCATGCTGAATTAATTTCCCACAGATTATCTGATGTCTGGGGATGCAGCAGCACCCCTAAAGATCTCCAGCCCTTTGTGAGAACTGTATTGGAGCACAGGGATTCTGGTGTGCCCCTGAGCTCCAGGGAGCTCTGCCAACAGCACAGACATCAGATGTTTGTTCTGTGTTCTCTCTCCTGAGAAACTTTTCACTATCAAAGAATATTGACAGAAACTGGATCTTCCTCACAAAACACTCTGGCAAATCAAGGCTATTCCAGACTCAGCACAGGGAGGAAGCTCACATATTAGATGAGTATCACTAGCTTACTGTTTCTTCAATATATTTTTAATGTAGACAAGCTTGGATTACTAGTCTATCAATTAAGAAAAAATATAAGTTACAGAAAATGTTAGCCCTGCTTTGAGTGAAAATTTGGATCAGATGATATAAAGAGCTCCCTCACAACTGAAATTTTAATGATTTTATACTATTTAGTGTTAATACACCCTGGTTTGTTTTAAACATGTGGATATTCAGCAGTCATTCATGACAGATGATGGCAAAGTCTCACAGGAGGTCCAACAACAGACCTGGTTATTCCTGTGTTTCTCTGCTTTGATCACAGTCTTTGTTCAACTCATGTGGAAAACTTTAATGGATTAAATTTTGGATTCTGAATCCCTCTCTTAAGTTGGAAGCTAAAGACCTAATCTTTCTGCCCTTACATTACTGAGTCATGTTTTTTTCAGATATGGTAGAGATATGATAATACCTTTTGCATGTCTTGCATTAATTAACTATTAATTAAATATTCTATCTAATCTGCTTAGACAACAGTGGCAGATAACACTGTGCCTTGGTTTAGGGTGTTCTGATAACCAAGTCTGCACATCTTCGCTCCCCCTTCACTCTCAGAACTAGTCTTAAAGGTGCAGAACTTAATATCTAGCACAAACAGAACAGATGAAGGGGGATACAAGCATCATAAAGTCACCCCAGGACCCACTGTCACTTGGATGGTTCCATCCTCTTACACTACTCAGGGAGCCAGCTCCAAGGGCCCTGCACTGCACTGTGTACTGAGGGCTGCAGACCAATAAAAGATCGGGTGGTCACTTCCCACAAAAAATGGAGAAAGGAGCAATCCATGATCAATAGCTGCTTGAATTCAGGGTGACTCTATCCCTGCTACAGCAGCTTTCATCCCCTGAAGAACTTTATTGTTCTTGATAAAATCTTGCTGAGTCCTATTTCCCTCCTGCATCTGTTCTCATTTCCTCAGGCTGGAGGACCTGAGATCTTGGAAATGGTTAAAGCAACTCCCTGGCTAATGGAATAATCAATGGCTATTGCCTCTTTTACTCCTTCACCCTGGAGGAACTGAGTTGTTGCTAACAGTAATTCTGCCATCCTTTATAGTTTTCTGTAAGCACTACAGACATTGTAATTTTAATAATGCATATTTACAGAGGTGGACACAGCTACTAGAGCATCTTAAACACCCATCAAGGTCTGAACATGAGATCTATATATAGCAATCTTACAGACCACAAGCAAATTCTTTCCTTGCCTTTAACCTAGAGCTACACTTCTTAACAGATTTTGTCTTTAACTGCCTCCATATAGATAGATAAGCAAGCCTAAAACTCATGGTGATTCAAGACTGAAAACAAAGGACTAATTCCAAACCTCAGATTTGTACAGAAATACATCTTTTGTTATGCAGCATCAAGGCTTAATAGGACACAGTTGCTGCTACTTGTAATATTTAGCCCTTCATTAATGCAAAAAGAACTCAGTTACAATTTTGTTACCAAGGAAACCTAAGAAAAAATTATCTCTGAATTCCATAATGAAAGAATATTATACTTTTAGATATTTCAGGACCAAAATCAACAAGGGGTATTTGCACTATGCATATTTCTGACAAATGCAATTTATAGGTGCAGTTGAAGACACAAAATGAGAAGCTCTCAAGTAACCATGACCAGTCCAGTCATGAAAGTGCTTTCACACAACCTGTAGGTACCTTAGACATTGCAGGACCTTGGTCTACAAAATCTGAACCTTCCTTGATTTTATGACCACATCGTTCACCAAACTATCTCCTCTCAAAACATGTATTAAGGTCATTCAGTGAGCAGCTATTTTGTTTAGATTTTTAACTTTAAGATGGATACTTGGTACATTTTAGAGATATTTAAGTTATGTGATATATATTTTTATTATTATTATGTTTTAAAAAGACCCTTTGCCTTTGCAGATGGTTTCTTCTCTTCCACAGGGGAATTATGGTGATTTGCCAACTTGAGTCCAGGCTTTCTATGCTCATGTGTGTTGTATGATGGTGCTTAATGCCAGGAGAGGAATTAAATGCTTAAATTAATGTTTACATAAACAGCACCTGAAAGAATATTTTTCTTTTAATGAGTTTAAGGCACCTGAGGGCAGGTGCTTAGACATGTAAGAAATCTACTTCTATTAAAAAACAACGAGAGTGTTAATTTAATAGAAATAAACTATTTTTGAAATACTTCTTTTATGAGCTAGGGGAACAATAAATAAATGGAACTTTTATGTTGACTTCTAGTGCAGATTGGAAAAATGGTCATTTCATGTAGTGTTCAGTCCAGATTGCCTTTATTAGTAAAAAAAAGAAAGAATTATTGATTCTAGAAGACTTCCAGGGTTGGAAAACTCTGCACCAGTTTGCAGAGGCAGAAGAAGAACTAGGAATTTATGTCTATTTTTAATCTCAGTATTCAATTACATAATTATAACATTTTAGTGTTTACTTGGGAGCAGAGTGCACAGCCTGACTTGGAACATATTTCTACTACTTAGAGGCCACTGAGTCTTCATGGTCTCTGTTCAGCTCTGCTACTTTTAAAAGCAGGAAAGGTGCTCCCTTATTTTTTTTCCTTTTCTTTTCCATAACTACACTCCATGTAGTTATGGAAAAGAAAAAAAAAGGCAATTTTATTTATTTGTCAGCATGAGAATATGAATATTAGTCAAAGCTCCCAGAACTGTGACAGGAAAGACTCAGTACTTTACACATATTTTAAAGAACACTTCATCCTTGCAGTAAATAATCTGTATTTTACTGTCTTTAGCAGCATCTCAAGGATAATATTGTACTAGTTGTGCCCTTGTAGAGTCTATATGATGGTCAGGAAAGTAGAAGTAAAGGCCTTCCCTACATGGTCCAATACCAACTCATAAACTGGGCTCACAGGTTTCAATGTTCCAAGCTAACAGGAACATTATAAATATTTAAATCTTTACTTTTTTTT